TCACTGCAACATCTGCCGACGTGTCGATGACTTGAACGAGCAAACTGCACTCGACAGCCTTCGACAGATCTCATTCCATGAAGTAAAGGCTTGGAAAGTGGTCGCGTGTTATGGTTCTACACGGTAGCTTCAAATGGCGCCGTCTCAGTTCGAGTGGAACAATCGCTGTTGCATAGGAACGACAACTAGATCATCGACAAGGCTTTGATTTCAAAGCCGAACTCCTCACCACTTTGGGAAGAACACGATAATATTGTCAGCAGACTACTTAATTGACATTCGCGAAATGGGACCGAAATCTTAACGCACGACGTACAGACGCGTTTGCGTTGCGACGTTGTGATGATGATTTCTCAACAAACTCGACCCTACCTTCTTGCGAGTTTATGAGGAATACTGCACGAACGGAGGCATTCACTTGAATCTGTGGAAAATTGCTTTGTGATCTTCACACACTCAGCCACAACTGCCGTGATTAACAGTGTCTGTTGGCTCCCTACGCCCCATTCAATTGCTCTAATTTTGTGATCAAAATTAATCTTTTTATCCAGAGTTCGTTTTAATGTGGCGTTTTTTACACAGCTAACCACTGCCGCACCAATCGCCGCTTAATTTCTTCCCTAGTTCCTGCCGAGAATTTTACCTCAAATCAACGAAACCCAACAGCACTGCTCATGCACGTTTTTTTCTAAATTCATCATTTTGCAGTGTTCCATTGGTATGCAGGGGGAAATTGGTGTCCCTCGTGATATAACAATTTTTGGATACGAAATTACTCCAAGGTAAAATCTGCCGACTCGTGCATCCGATAAATATCTGGCCTCGTTGATCTACCTCTCTTTATTATCCCCTGCCGAAGTAACGAACAAGGTCACAGACAAAATTATCGGTGGACGACATTACGTGACTGAGATAGCAAGCAACAAGATTTTGACCCGAATGACAGTGATGTCTGAGACCATCTTAATTTGAAATACCTCGTTACGCAATAATGAATTCGGATAGGTTGAAACAGTTGTTTAAATTCTACGAAATTTCTCCCACCGCGTTTCCATCCTTGATTTAAAAATTTTGCAATTCGGATTCAAAAGTCAAATTGACATGACAGATGTCTTATTTCATCCATGGAGTATTTTTAATTTAATTTGCAATATTGTACGTAAAGACCGCGTTTTTAGTCAAGGATTTCCTGTAAAAAGTCTTTTTTTTTTCTCAAAAGTAGATGAGTTAGTTGGTTGGGAAATAAGTCGTAAATGTACCAATTAATTTTTTTACCACAATTTGATTTAACTTGATAACAAGATGGAACGTAGTTTATAATGTGTTCGGCGTTCTTATTTGCTGGGTCTTCCACGTGGTCAACAAGTTTAAAGACGTCTCTCAGGCAACATTTCCTAGCTTTGACTCGATCAAAAGCTTGTCAAATTGGTGATGTGTTGTAAAAGGACACACCAAGATCGGTGCTGTTGGCTTGCCACTCTGGGTCGACACATTTGCTGAGCATTGAGGCTTGCTTTGGCCATTTCGTTTTCACAATGATGCCTTAACAATCCCATCAATTGGAACAATGCGAAGACTTGTTCCTCAACCCAGTACTTATGAACAGCCGTAAAAGCATGAATTAATTTAAGCTCCGGTTAACACTGGCGTGAATGGAACAATTAAGCAGAAATCGTGATTACAAAGGCTCTAAGACTGTCCACAAAATGCGTTCACGGTAAAAATGACAAAAAAGGAATCAAACAAAATCGATATGTTGATTCTTGGGACTGAAGTAGTGTGAATTTGCCTCATTGATGCACAATAAGTAGAAAGTTTGGCAACCATTCTCGGTTTTTTTAAACATAAAAGAATGAATTATGAGTGAATTCGTGTAGTCACTCATTTCTGAAAATGCTGGACACCTTAATGAGCTTCTGAGTTAGAAGCCAACTCACTGTCTTTGGTTTTTCGGCGTGGTGGAAAGCCCTTTTGGGAATGACTTTTCTGTGGCTATACCACGGACCTCAGAAGGCCATGGAAAACATTAGAATTAGCTGTGCAGAATTTTACCAACCTCAAATCCTCTTCAACCCAACCAAATGCCAGTCTCTTGTGAGTCTTGCCAACTGGAAAGCGCATCTATGAGTCAGTAGTCCCTAGGGCCGTGGAGATGCTTGCCGCCAGACTAGCGTGGTGGCGAAGCCGTCGTGTGTGTGTACCGCACCAGTAAAAAATGCCCAGTTAACACCAATTTGCCCGACAAGAAAAACTTTGTTCGGTGTGGGTCCCGTTGATAAGTCACACTTTTTGTGATAATTTTTGAGGCAGAAAACCCCGTGTTGAGGCAAAACCATAAAGCGATGTGAGTGATTCGCTGTAGACGGGGGTCTGCTAGTTTATTTTCTCCAACTCACGCGGGCTTTCTCGTGTCTAACGTTTTGAAGCAGAGTAAAAGCTACTTCGGAGTCATCTTGCTGCCTGAATCAAGTGAACTGACGAACCAAACGACTAAGGGCAACTGTGGATTTTGAAGTAAAAGCGAAGAAAAAGGACCCTTTTTATGTGGAAGGTTCGAGTGACTAGCACCGGGCGACTACCATGAAACCCCTGACATACCTCCCAGAGCGACAGCCATAAGTATCACTTAAGTGTCCTTAGTGCCAATTAAAGAAGGTGACCATGCGTTTTACGTTCATGTGTGTGCCCTGCCGTGATGGTATGGAAGAGTAGATTTTGTTCATGTCGTTGTGCTGGGCATACCACCCCGCCATCGGTAGAACATAGCTTAAATTATTTAAGTCCTAGTTATAAAATTACGGGGTTTGGAAGGGGAACACATCCACGCCCCCTGGCTTGCGTGACTGGGCCTAAAGTTGGATGACATATTGGACCACACACATGGGGGCAACTGAGCATCGCTTTGCACGCCATCGTCTACATGCTGCAGCGAGCTTTGGATGCGAAGCATTCAACAACTTCGAATTCTTGGTTAGTGCCCTCCCCTTCCCCCTTCTCCATCCCTCAGAACACTGATCAATCATTTTAGCCAATCGAACGCCTTATAGACAGTCGGCCGTGGGTCAGTGTTATTGGTTTACTCCCAACCAAGTGGAGTTAATTTATTTTTTTTAAAAACTTAGACCCTACGGTTACGTGGTTTCTTGTAGAAATTTTGTCGGAGAAGGTCTTGCTGAGAAGCAGTACAAATGATTTACTTGTTCTGATTTGCGGCTTCTAAAGGAACCGAGAATTTAGTGTTCTGTGAAATCTAACCTCGACCCAATCCGTTCTCTGTACCAGGTTAACTCAACTCTATTTTTCTAGCATCGAACCACAATTTTCAAGTTCATGAATGGATTCAAAATGTACATATTTTAGTTTCATCTAACGTGGGATAGCTTTGGTTTGCGAGGTGTGCATTGAATAAACTATGTTAGTGGAGCTGAGTACCCACGGCTCAAAGCCAAATCCGATTGATCTAGTGCAAAAAAATCGTGTTAGTTGACGGAAGGACCTGGTACATCACGCTCGACCAACTGTCCTCACACCCGGAAACCTTAAAGGCGCACAATAAATGGAGAGAGGGCTACTCACTTTCGTCATCCACCTGGCTTCCTCACTGGCGAATTGGAGGTTGGGTACGTCCACGCGAACAAGTCGAGTTGTTGGGATGGCCGTCTGAAAATCCTGTGCTTCCAGAGGCCCACTGGCCTCCAGACTGCGCTCCGGTCTCATTGGACGGTACTCCTCGGGCACAAAGACGTGCGTCTGTGAGCGGAACTGCGATCTGTAGTACGTGGAAGTCTTGATGCACGCCTGGGAAACACCTGTTAAGAGTAGTAGCCACAGCAGGAGGTCAAGTCGTGTGCGCCGGAGTAGCATTGTGGAGGATCTGGAAACGGTGTCTGTTGTCGAGTGTATCTCGGTGAATTAGCAATTGACTACACAGCCGCAGCTGGTGGCGAAATTTTAAATTTGCCTCGACTCGGTGCCGTCGTAAGCATTTACCTTTCTCTTGCCGATGATTGCACGCCTTGCCACTACCACCTCCCCAAAAGCAGTTTCATGTTCCTCCTGGGGTGTGTGCGTGTGCGTGCGTGCATACAGGCATGTGTTCGTCGGATTAGTCCGTCCATGTGCGGCGTTAGCAAGGGACGTAGGTGTGCGTGTATGCATGTCTGGGTCAAGGCGTGCACGCAAGCCACTTCGCCCAATCGCAACACACGATTCCTAAACAAGCGAAGTTGCAGAGCCAATCAGTTTGGAGGAACTTGAACGTGCGCACCGGAGATGTGTCCTTCCATGCCACACGGGGGAGCGTATTTGTGGTACAGAATGCGAGTGCTGTTTACTTAACTCTGGGTGGTTCACCACCCTCACCACCAAAAGGCACACCAAAGAGGGTCTAGTGAGTGCGCAAAAAGCTGCAGCTGCTTTTAAAGGGGATGAAAATATGAATTTTCTGTACTAGCTAGCAAAATCGCGTTCCTCCACCGACTACTGGCAAAAGTAGAGGTTAACATAGAAAAAATCACTTCTGAGTGCTCACAAAAGCGTAAAAAAGAGTTAAGGGTTATAATAGTTGGTATTGGCCTGCTTGCACTACTGTAGAACTTTGTTGGTAAACAGCTAGCAGCATCCCAAAAACAGAGACAAGAAACCAGCAACGGATACGACCATCCAGGCAAGTAATTGTCGATCGTTAGCCGTAGTGAGTAGTCAATGGCATCGGATGAGCTCGTGAACAATCTTCACGCCTTCTCCAATGCGCTGACAATTTGTCGCAATTAATTTTGCGGAAAATTTAACTAGAAATGTCTAGCAGACTAGGCTGGACCCCGTCATTTTTGCTCCTGACCGACTCTAGACAGCACAAGTATCCAGCATTTGAGACAAATTAGTGTATTTAGTAACCATCTGGTAATAAGGAAATCATTTTTCACGTTGTAGTCGAAAGCGGTACCAGAAAGCCAACTTAGAGTTGGACTAAAGTCAGATTAACACATGCAATTACTTCCCATTTACCATCATACGCAGTAAAATTAGTTTCAGCTAAGTTAGTTTCCTCCACCACCCAATAAAATGTAAACTTCGAACGTAGATTACATTTTATTGTAGCAATTATATCTCCTTTGGCAAAGCGTCGAGTTAAGTTTTACGATTGCTGTCACAGCTTCGGCCCGCGATTTACGCAGTCAACTGTCTTTAGATTGTAAAATTAACTCATTCCTCCAACTTCAAAGTAGGCGCTTTTGTTTTCGGCATTTTGTTTTAAATGTAATCTAATCGAGATTGAAAATTTCTTACACAATATACCGCAAAATTTAGAGGCTGTGACGCATTAATTTTCTGCATTTTACGAATATCAATGACCCCGTGGTCAATCATTAATTTTACTTAAAGCGCCATCAAGCCACCTGCCTGTTAGAATCTAAACTTGCAAGCTCTAAGCATTTCTGGTGGAAATCGCTTCGCCGAAATTGAAAACGGACTAACTGATTGTGTTCATAAAAAAAGTTGTATTTTTAATTGCGCACTCCTACGGTTTCCGACGATAAGAGTGATTTGCTCAATCACACGACCGGCTGATTTAATCTCTCCACCCCGGAAGCACGCAGAAACCTCTCTTGATTGACAACTGGGGACCCAATGCGAGGCCCTCCAATATGAACTGCCTTTGGGAAAGTCCAACTGTCTGGGAGATAACAAGTATACGTAAACGACCGAGTGATTGACGGCAATGTTCATTCCGTGATTTATCGAAAATGCTTCGTGCTAGCCATCCGCCGAATTGCACCCGATTGTGTGTTGATTCCAAGATGTTCGTTGGCCCTTGTAGAAAAGCTCACAATGGCCTACTTGAGATCGAAACGTTGCCTGTGGAACAACGGGATAACTTTCAGCCCTAGTTTCATTCACGTGTTAAACTCGATTTTAATTTATAACGAGTAAAATTACCACATGAGTTTTAAGTGGTTATGTACAAGCTCACAGACACTGGCATTTAATTTTTGCAATCTTAGAGTAACTGATTTAAATTTAAGTGGAGCTCAAAACGTGACTCCGTGTGGAAGGTTTCTACAAAAATTCATTTGCTTTAAAAAATCGAAGTCAAAATTGAGGAGTCTGAGACGAAATGTGCAAATGAATAAGCAAATCACGTTGTCTTACCTAAACACCATCCACTTCTCGCCAATGCAACCCCAGTCAAGCAGGAGCGTGAACATCCGCATCAAAAGAACTTTGTTGAAACATTCTTTTGAGGCAGAAACTGATCCATTTCTCCAATTTTTAGGATCTTGTTGTCGACGCGTGATTCCAGATAATAGGGGAGCGTGCTTCCCTGGTACTCTACAAAATACTTCAAACTTAACTAATGAGACTTTTCGATGTCTAATCGGTTCTGGTGATTCGAAGTATTCCCCCCCCCCCCCAATTGAAAGAGAATC